TATCATTGTATTTTAATCCAGGGGTACGTGAGGTAGGTCTGTGTCGTTCAGGTGTGTGTGTGTGTGTGTGTTGGTGTGTGTGTGTCTGTGTGTGTGTGTGTGTGTGTGTGTGATGGTGTGTGTGTGAGTGTGTGTCTGTGTGTGTGTGAGTGAGTGTGTGTGAGTGTCTGTGTGTGTCTGTGTGTGTGTGTGTGCGTCTGTTAGCGTGTGTGTCTGTCTGTGTGTGTGAGTGTCTGTCTGTGTGTGTGTGTGTCTGCAAGCGTGTGTGTGAGCGTGTGTCTGTGAGTGTGTGAGTGAGTGTGTGAGTATTGCTTGTGACGTTGTTCATTTATAAGTGGCTTTGGATAAAAGCATCTGCAGAATGAGTGTAAATACCAGGAAAGGGTTGAGAGATGATCTGGTTCTTGACGACGATGTGAGGAATCTGTGATTTGATCTGAACAGCTTCACGTGAGAGCTGAGCAAAGATCTCCTTACACAGCAGCACATTCTGAGCCGCTTCCAGCTTCAAATGCCACATCTGAGAGCCTGAGAGAGGAACACATGAGACAGAAAACCAGAGCTGCTGCTGGAAGAACAGCGCAGAAAACATGCATTTGAGATGAACCCAAAACAAGGTGAAGAAAGCAGAACTTTGCTAAAACAGGCTGAACTGCAGAAATGAATGAAACGGATTATACTAGTGAGCTTTAAATCAGAGGAGTGTCCGACTGGCATGATGAAATGAAGAGTTTGTCATCATTTACTCTCCATCATATCACTCCAAACCTCTCTGACTAAAAGATGATATTCTGAAAAACTGAAAAAAAGTCCATACAATGGAAGTCAACGGTCACAAAAACTGGTTGGTAACGTCTACTATCTAAAACATCTCTTTTTCTGTTCCACAAACAGATATGAACAATACGAGGATGAGTAAATGATGACAGAATGATCATTCTTCTGTGACTGATCGCAATAACGAAAATGCTTCTGATATTCACAATCATAAATGTTCTATATGGGCCACACCGATTCCAAGCGTAATATTCGTAATATGCCTGTATTCTCAGCCATCAGTCTTCTATCTAGAAAGGTAAGTATGGCCTGAGAGCAGCGCCTCGAGCTGGCTTTACCAGGTTTGGCTTTGGGCTGTCTTCTGAAGAGACTGACTGTGCCGAGGTCTCCGATATCAGCAGACTGCTTCTGAATGGACACCTGGAGAAACACACACGGTTCATCTGGTGAAAACAACACGTGATGCCTGCGCTCACAGGCGAGTTATAGATAACTGAATGTTACCTTAATATACGCCGACCCCTCCAGGTCGCTGGGGATCTGCACGTTGAGCGGACAGTAATCGTCAGGGACTTTCTTATCCAGGTCGATGTCTGTGTTCTTGATGACCTCAAACGTGCCGTGATGGGGGAACAGAGACCCTGCAGAGCAACAGCGCATGTTAGCATAGACACTTCATAGACATCAGAGAGGACAGCACACTGATGAGAGCGCTGCATTACCGGCGCTGCGGTAGCTCAGATCACCCAGGATCTTGTGCCCGACCTTGCGCAGCTTCCACTGAGAGCGCAGACGCAGCAGCTCCGAGTTGAAGTCCCGCTGTCTGCGCTGCTCCTGGTTCTCCGCCAGAGACTTGGTGAGTTTCTCGGCTCCTTTCAGCAGCAGCTGCGCCGCCGTGGCCAGAGACTTCTTCTTGCTGATCAGCTGGAACACCTGCGGGGTCTAAACACAGCAGACGCGTCACGAGGAGCGCTGAGCCCGGCCCGGCGGAGCGCGACAGGTGTACCTTGGTCAGAGCGGGGTCCTGGGACACAGGGTCGAGTGCCATGTACTTCTTGTCCTTGAGCACGCTGAGCACGTCGTGCAGCACACACATCTCTGTGAGAGCGCTGCGCAGGTTATTCCTCACCGAGTCCCATGGCCACAGCGAGGGCTGGAACTTCACCGTCCCTGTCAGCAGAGAGCTGTGCTTGAGTCACGATCATCAATGAGCTGCAGTGACAGAGGAAAACATCTCTGAGCTTACCCTCGTCCTCCTCCGGCTCAGGTTTGCCCCACGGCTCCCGGCTCTCCCGCTCCTGGCCGTCCTCGTCTGAGTCGGAGCTCTGGTCGAAGTCGATCCGCTGCGCCAGCTTGGCCAGGTTCTGAGACATGGAGAGCAGCGGGACATACGTCTCCAGACCGTCCAGAGACACCTCCTGCACCTGACGCTCACACTGAGACTCGATGCTGACGCGCACCGCCGGACCTCCAGACATCATGCTGACCGCTGCAGCTCTGCACACACACACACAGAGACACACACACACACACACACACACACACACACACAGAGACAGACACACACGCACACACACACACACACAGAGACATCAGACAGACACACAGAGAGACACACACACAGAGAGAGACACACACGCACACACACACACACAGAGACAGACACACACGCACACACACACACACACACACACACACA